CTTTGTTATTTTTAATTTTTCTCGTACATAAAAAATCATGAAATCTTTTTTTGTATATTCTAATCTTGTATTTAACGCATGTAAAAAAAAAATCTAATAGTCATTGAAAAAAAAAAAGATATTCTCACATATACTTTTTAGGGGCAATTACAAAAATGCCACATTTTGTGTGCATATTTACAAGAATGCCACTTAGGGGTATCCATTTACAAACATGCCACTAATTATAGATTTATAAAGCCTATATCTTAAAATTCTAAACCTTAAAAAATGTTTTGACACCTAAAACCCCCTAAACACTCAAAACTAAACCCTAATAGAACATAATTAACTCAAACATAAATAATATAAGGAAAAAATAATTTTGAAAAAGTGGTATTTTTGTAAAGATTTCAAAAGTGTGGCATTTTTGTAAAGTGGCATTTGAAAAGTGGTATTTTTTGAAATTTCTCTACTTTTTATTTATTAAATAAAATATTCCATATTAATTACTACATATTCCTTGCTTCCATATTTNTTTAATAGTTATATATTGTATATGTGATATAAATTTAGTCTAATTATTTACACAATAATGTTATTAAAAATTTTTAATACATTTCCTTAAAAGTTCTTTAAAACCCTCTTTGGATGACACCTAGGATTTTCACTTAGTGTCTCCTCTATTAATATATAGAGGATAATCATCTTTAAATTTCATATCACTAGCTAACACAAATTACTAATTTACCCTTCTTCACTATGTTCTCTCTTTCTCTCTCATCGGATGACGGAGGACGATTATAGATGACAAAAACAGAAACGGTGGTGAATGATGGACACAAACGGTGATGGATGACAAAAACGGAGACGATGGTGGATGGTGGACAGAGACGAAAACGGAGACGGTGGTTCTGGACGAAAATAGAGACAGTGGTTGTGGACGAAAATGGAAATGGTGATGGTGATTGTGGACGAAGACAGTGGTTGTGGACAAAAACGAAGATGATGGTAAATGGTGAGACGACGGTAGACCAAATATTGGATAGTGGTAGACAGAAAACACTGGCTATATCACAGGGGTAAAAATGTCTTTTATCTTCTTTGTGGTATAGAATTCAAAGACCTTCTGAATTATGGTATTGGTCAAAAGTTTCTAAACAAAATATGGTATTTCCGAAAAAATCCTAAACTAAAATACAAATCCTAGTCTACAAAATTCCGATTTTATTTTTATTTTACTTTGCAAAACTATTGAATTGTCACTTAAAATTTTGGTGATTATCTATCAATACACATCTGCCAAAATTTTAAATGTAATCTTTTTAAGTTTGGAAAACCTCATTCTTACCTACACAAACTATTGGTTGATATGTAGCTAAACATCTCAAGTATAAATGTTTTTTAAACTACACATACTAATATGTTACACATGATGACATATAAGAAAAATATGTAAACATGGAAAATTTACAAGTTGTTGTTTATTGATCAAAGATTTTACTTTTTGAGATCAATTTGTAATTATTTTCTTAAATAATAATACTATTTAAATTTTCATTTTTAAAATTCAAAAAATAAATCTAAAAATCGAAAAAATCTGATTCAATTGTGAACTATTTCGACATCTCTGGAGTCGTCCACATCTATCTAAGTTCAGTTCAACATTATGTCTTGTTGGAAACTTCTACGTCACATCAAGCTTTTGTAATAAGTCATCGATCACATAATATATTTGGTTCGATTATTTTTAGATGAAACAACTATGCTTATGGAATCTGCGAGTGTTTTGATCATTTCACCCATGATTGTGAAGGATGGTCTCTTTACAGTGTCGTTCTCATTTTACACTGACGAAAGTTGATGCGTGTAGCTAGTGGAGATGTTTAAAGTGGATCTGCAAAGAATTCGATTTGGTAAGTTAGTTGAACTTACATAATTCAATAGTGAACAATTTCGATTATTTATTTTTTAGAATTATCAAAATATTTTATACTTAAAATTTAGAAAACATTTTATTATTTGCTTTTTAATCATCTTTAAATATTAAAAATAAATTATGAAGGCTGTTGCACAAAAAAAAAAAATTACGGAAGGCTATATTGTTTTTTTTTGGTGAAACGGAAGGCTATATTGTTGATGTGTTAGGTCCACATTTTTTCTTATCTTTTTGATATAATTAATTCTATATTATTTAGTTCTCTACTATTACATTTGGAAGCAATCTTTTATTTAATTCTAATTGTCAAACATATATAAAACACTAATAATTGTTCTTTATTAATGTAGTTATGTTTGGAAAAAGTATTTCTTACGTATAATATACCATACTTTCATTCATTCATACACAATACACATGTGTGTGGTGCATTTCTTTAGTGGTGTAGTGTTAGTGATGTGAGTGGTTTGAAAGTTGTGGATTTTGATGATATTCAAGAAGAAAATGAAATCATGATTTTGTGGTTGCAACCCTTATTATAAACTAAATTAACGTTTACAATTAAAGCTTTTTTTGTGGTGGAGTATTAGTTAGGATTGGGGGTAACCTCAAAATTTGGACAATCCGTTATCCGACCTGACTCTACCGGATATTTGACAAACTATACCCTTACCCGACCCGCAAAAAGCGAGTACTCTATACAACAGATACCCGGCAAAAATCCGTTGACCCGCAGGGTACCCTTTACCCTTAATTACCTGTCCAATTATAATATAGTTTATGTATAATTAAAGTTAAGCAATTTATATACCAAAGAAATAAAAAAAGTTATTAGGAAAAGGGAAAAAATTTTCTTAATAGATAACATATAGTTCATAAAATATAATATTACAAACTTTAAAACTTAAATCTTATAATCCATCATCTCCAAAATTATCGATGACATTTCAAAAACACAAAAGATTGACGTTGTGAGTATTTATACTATACTATATATTATACAATTTATTTGAAGTACTAAGTTTATCAAATATTAATGATATAAAATGCGAGTATTTATGGATCGGGTAGCAAATCGAGAAAAGACGGGTAGTGAAAAAAAATGATATCCTTTACCCGACCCTTATCCGCGGGTATCAAAATTATAGTACTTTTTACCCGATTCGAATGTTACGGGTACCCTAATTTCCGAGACGAGTACGAGCTGGGTAACGGATAAAGGACGGGTAACAGGTATCTGTGTCCAGGACTAGTATTAGTGATGGGAGTGGTTTGAAATTGGTGGATTTTGGTGATATTCATGAAAAGAAAAAACTTAAGTTAGTGGTTATAACCTTAATTGTAAACTAAATTAGCGTTTACTGTTAAATATGTTGCAAAACATGGGTACTAACCTTAATAGTTTATAATAGACCTTAAGCTCTGAAGTGATTTTTTTTTTTCCATTGAGTTAGCATTAATAAATATAGTGGAATATATATGTTATAATGACAAAAACTAATC